TCAGTGCTAATGTGGAGCTTGAACTCAAGGCCTCAAACTCTTGCTTGACATTTTCTACTCAAGGCTGGCATTCTACCCCTTGAGCCACAGCTCCACTTCTGGCTCTTTGCTGGTTAACTGGAGATAAGAGTTTCTTAGATTTGTCTACCCAGGCTGGCTTCAAACCTCAATCCTCAGATCTTAGCTTCCTGAGGATAACAGGTATGAGCCACTGGTACCCAGAAAATTGTAACTTGGAATGTTGAATTATATACTTAAACACTTAAAAGGAGACAGGAATGTTGAAATAGTACATTAATTACTATCCATTTATAGAGAATATAGTTACTGATCTCATAAATTAGGCTCTTGAGAATCAATGCTTAGGAAAAAAATACTACTTCAGGAAGTGACCCTGTGGTTCAAAATGGAAAAGAGCTAGCCTTGAGCAAAAAGGGCCCAGGGAGACCCAGGACCTGTGTTTAAGCCCTAAGACCAAAAAAAAAAAAAAAAAAGACTACTTTACAATTCTTTACCATTATAATAATGCAAATTCATTAGTCTCAATTGTGGAAAATGTCAGTAAACATACCACAGCTCTCAGACACTGGTGGTATTATTACTGTCAATTACAAGACCAATAATAGCCAGTATCCATTGTTTGTTCAGGCCTATAATCCTAAGCTACTCAGGAGGCTGAGATCTGAAGATCATGGTTCAAAGCCAGCAGAGGCAAGAATAACTATCTGTGAGACTCTTTTTTTTTTTTTTTTTTGTCAGTTGTGGGGCTTGAACTCTGGGCTTGGGTGCTGTCCCTGCGCTCAAGGTGAGTGCCCTACCACATGAGCCACAGCCCAACTTCCGGTTTTCTAGTGGTTTATTGAAGATAAGAGTCTCACGGACTTTCCTGCCCGGGCTGGCTTTGAACCACGATCCTCAGATCTCAGCCTCCTGAGTAGCTAGGATTACAGGCATGAGCCACCGGCACCCGGCTCTGTGAGACTCTTTAACCAGCAAAAAGCTAGAGGTGGAGCTATGGCTGAAATGGTAGAGCACCAGCCTTGAGTGAAAAAGCTAAGGGATGGCACCCAGGGCCTTGAGTTCAAGCCCTAGTACCAGCACAAAAAATAAAAATAAAAAAGAACAAGACCAAAGTTTAGAGAAGTATGTGCAGAGATAGCCAAAGCACTTCTAGAAATTCATGGAACTGCCTAGAATTTAGGGTTCCTGTGAAGTGCTTTCCTTGGGATTGCCTAACCCACAGTCTACTGCAGAAGTCAAATTATTCATCTTTCTAGGCATGTCCTTGGTCCCAGCCTTTTTTCTTTTTTGTCTTTTTTTCATTTTCATTTTTATTGTTACTATAACTAGCCTCATTCTTGAGTCACACCAGTTCCAAACATTAACAGTCAATGTTGAAATCCCTGTCTAGAAATGAACTCTATCACCTTCCCCAGGCCCAAACACAACCTCTCTCCTCCATATCAAACTCCCAGCCTTTGTTTCTGCCTTGAATCAAAACACCAATTGCTGGGGTTGGAGACATGGCTCAGGTGGCAGGGTGTCTGAGTGTAAAGCATTGGAGCCCCAGTCTTACATGTAAAAAAGAAAACAGCATTCACCCACAGAGACAAGATTCTAAGGCAAAACTGCAAGGTTTCAAAGCAGAAAGGGCTTGAGGTGAAAGAGAAAGTGAGCAAATTCTGTTTCAGAGAAATCGGGTCTCCTGAGGTGTTCAACAGCCAAAGAATCAGACATCCCTGATTCAGTAGACAAGTATGAACCTCAGTAACTCCATGTGGTCCTATCGTTCCAAAATTCTTGACTGAGCAGCTACATGGTTGAGAAAGTGTGAGGCATTGGGTTCAATCCTCAGCACCAAGAGAGAGAGAGACAGAGTGGTAAACAAACAGATAAACCCTCTATGGCCCTGATTGTCAGAAAAATATCATGTTTTCTCATGAAAAAATTATATTAAGAAAAAGGAACTCTGTATCAATTTCTATTTTGAAACCATTCTCTTGAATAGCCTCATCAACATGTATGTGTGACTGTGTGTGTGTGTGTGTGTGTGCTATCCCTTAGCTTTTTTTTACTCAAGCGCTCTGCCACTTGAGCCACATTTTCACTTCCAGCTTTTTGCAGGTTAATTGGAGATAAGAATCTCACAGATTTGTCTGTGAAGGCTGGCTTTGAACCACAATCCTCAGACTGAGCCTCCTTAGTAGCTAGGATTACAGGCACAAGCTACCAAAGCCCAGCTAGTATAAACCTCTCATGGCTGGTTTCTTTTATTTAGTAAAACATCGTGGGTTAACCCATGTTGTCATATACATATTCTATCCCTTTTTCATTCTCAAAAAACATTCCATTGTATAGATATACCAGACTTTTATGTTTTCATTCATCATTTGACAGACATTTGGATTGACCATTATAAATAATGTTGTTATGAACATTTTGTACAAGTTTTGTGGGAGCCTGTTTTCATTTCCTTATGTTATATATAGCTTTGAATGATTTTCCTGGTCACCTGGAAACTTTACATTGAAGCCTTTCAAGGAATAGCCACACTGCTTTCCCAAGCCGTGGCACTAGTTTACATTCCCATGAGCAATGTGTGAGGGTTCCACTTTCTCTACGTCTTTGCCAAGGCTTGTTATCTATTTTCCTGATTAGAGCCACCCCAGTGTGTAAAGTAATTCACTGAAGTCAATATTCTGTATATTCTGTATCTTAAATAAGCCCATGCACTCAGAATTGAGGACTCAAGCAGCTATGCAAAAACTATACTTTTTAAAGAATAAAATATATTCAAAAGTCTTTTTCCTTTTTTCTGTTATTTTATTGTAAAGGTGATGTACAGAGGAGTTACAGTTACATAAGTAAGGAAATGAATACAATCAAAAGTTGTGGGGGGAGCCGGGCGCCAGTCACTCACGCCTGTAATCCTAGCACTCTGGAGGCTGAGATCTGAGGATCGCAGTTTAAAGCCAACCCCGGGCAGGAAAGTCTGTGAGATTCATCTCCAACAAACTACTCAGAACACTAGAAGTGGTGCAGTGGCTCAAGTGGTAGAGCACTAGCCTTGAGCTGAAGAGCTGAGAGACAGCGTTCAGGCCCATAGTTCAAGCCCCATGACCAACAACAACAAAAAAGTTGTGGGAGGGGGGATGGATGTGTGTGTGTGTGCTCGTACTGGGGCTTGAACTCAGGGCCTTTTTCATTCAAGGCTGTACTATACCACTTAAGCCACTTCTGGCATTTTGATGGTTAATTGGCAATAAGAGTCTCTCAGATTTTTTTCTGCTCACGCTCGCTTTGAACCTGGATTCTCAGATCTCCTCAGCGTCTTGAGTTGCTAGGATTATAGGTGTGGGCCACCAGCACCCGCAAAGGTCATTCTTTTTTGTGGGGGAATGCAGTCATGGGGCCTGGGCGCTGTCCCTCAGCTCTTCAGCTCAAGGCTAGCACTTTACCACTTAAGCCACAGCACCACTTCCGGCTTTTTTCTTTTTGCTTATGTGGTGCTGAGGAATCGAATCCAGGGCCTCAGGCATGCAAGGCAAGTGCTCTACCACTGAGCCACCTTCTCAGCCCGCAAAGGTCATTCTTGAAACCTCAAATAATGCCAGCACAATCAACATTCCCATAAAAAATAAATAAGTTACTCCTTTCTCATCAATATGCAATATTATTCTTTTTTTGGGGGGGGGGTTGTGGGGCCTGAACTCTGGGCCTGGGCACTGTCCCTCAGCTCTTCAGCTCAAGGCTAGCGCTCTACCACTTGAGCCACAGCACCACTTCTGGCTTTTTTCTTTTTGCTTATGTGGTGCTGAGGAATCGAACCCAGGGCCTCATGCATGCAAGGCAAGCACTCTACCACTGAGCCACCTTCCCAGCCCCAATATGCAATATTATTCTATCACAAATCCTATCAAGCCACAACAATGTTCGACAGCCAGTAAACAATGTCCAACAACCAATAAAAACACTAATGGGCTGGTGGAATACACAAACACTTAACAACAACAAAGAGTTTTACCCAAAACTTTCAAGAAAGCACACTAGATTAGAATTCAGGTTCATCAATAATCTATAATCCGTCAATGAACTTTTCTGTAGAGCGTGGTGCTCTGAATAGCTCATAGAGCTATGAGGTATGATGTAGGCCTGAAAGTTTAATGAAATTTGAAAATGAAATGCTTGTATCAAAAATAAAAATAAGCAATAAAATAACAAAACCAAAAAAGCTTTGTATGACAGAGACCATTTGCTTGCTAATCAGAGGGATGGGCTTAAGTCTCCAGCTCTTCCATGAAGTAACTACAGGACCATAGGCAAATTATTTCTCATCCTTACGCTTCAGTTTCCTCATCTAGAGCTCAGAATGCCTGCTTCATGAGTTGATAGACTGGCATTGTTACCTTCTGCTAACTCTGGGTTAAATTTCCCAGCAAACAACCCTCTTGGCAAGTGTCATGAACCACTGAGGACTGAATGGGGAGTCCTGTGATGGACGCGCGGGATTCTCTTTTAAAGCATTTCCCCACATTATAGCTGGGAGCTACCACAGGACAGCTATCCATGAGGGGCAAGGGGATTAAAATGGGATCCCAGGGAAATTCTAGAAAGGCAGCCTGAGGGGGACGAAAAGAGAAAAGTGCCACACTTCTGTGGGTGACATCAGGACAATAACTTCCTGAGGGCCCTGCAGAAGGGCTGGGCACAGCAGGAAGGGGGGGGCGGGAGATGAAGGCAGGGATGGTGAATTCCCAGGACCCCATTGGCTGGGCCGGCTAGGGAGTTCCGTGAAGCGGGGCTGAGATGCAGGCGCTGACGGGATGGAGAGGACCAGCTAGGTGTGTGTGCGCGCGCACACGCGTGCGTGCCTGTGTGTGTGTGTGCGCGTGTGCGTGTGTGTGTGTGCGTGTGTGTGCGCGTGTGTGTGTAAAAGCTATCCTTCCCAGCCAGGACTCCACTGCAGCCGACCTGCATCTCTGCGCAGCCTCCTCTCCTACCTGATCTGGTTGTCGCGGAATTTGTTGAGTTGCGGTTGGTTGAGGGAAATGGTGCGGGCCGGTGCCTCCGGCTGATCTCCAACAGACGTAGCCCGGGACATCTCATCCTCTGCCTTCTTGTAGCCGGCAGAAGAACGGACGGGTCCTGAGGAGACGAGGCACGGGGTAGGAAACAAAACACAAAAGAAGTCAGCCTCGGGCGCACGGAGGGAGGCTGGCGAGCGCGGGCTGCGTGCGAGGACCGGCGCTGGGAAGAGGATGCTCTCGGGCGAGGCTGAGGCCGCCCCAGGTACCTCAGGAGACGCGGTTGGGTTGCCGCTGAGGCCGCCCGCCGCCGCCGCCGCCGCGGCAGACTCCGCCCCGCCAAGCCATGCCCAACCCAGCGAGGCCACGCCCACGCCGCCGGCGCAGCCTCCCGCCTCCCCCCGCCCCTAGCCCGGCCGCCTGGGGTGGGGCGGGAGGAGTGGGAGGCGCGGGGAGGAGTGGGACGCGCGTGGTGCGGCCGTGTCCGCGATGGCGGGGGGCGGGCGGCGAGTCTCCCTCCCTGCAGGGGCCAGTCAGGACCGCTGGACCCCAGATTATGCGGCCAAACCAGAGAGACACCTTCACCTGGCTAAGGATCTCCTTCAGTCCCAGGGATTGATTGCTCTGCGGGCCTTGTGCGCGTTTGGGTCGCGCTCAGGTGAAAGGCCACTGGGAGATGCCCAGTCGTCGTGGAAGGGGATTGTTTGTTTGCTGCCTGAACTTTCCCGCCGCCGCCTCAAGGCTAGCGCTCCACCACCACCGGATCCACAGCTCCACTTCCTACGTTGGGGCTGATAATTGTCAGCTCACAGACTTTCTTGCTTTGCCTCCTGAGTAGCTAGGATTACAGGTGTGAGCTACCAGCACCCGGCTGCACAAGAACGAACGAAAAGAAAAGAGAAAAGCAGACAGACAAAGAGGAGAGAAAGAGAGAGAGAGAGAGAGGAAGGAAAGAAAGAAAAGAAAAAAGTCCTACTCCCTGTGGCAAAAGCTTCCACCTCGAGCTGGAAGGACCTGGTTGCTTTTCTCCATAGATTTGCCTGATCTCAGGAGTGTAGAAGCTAGGGACCACTGCATGAGCTTTCATCTCTTTCTTAAGTTACTGTTTCTGTGGTTACCACACATGCCAGCCTGTCTCCTAAGATAAGATCCATTTCAGTCCTGTAGTGAAGTCTGTCTGGAGCGCTAAACTCCGGATCACCTTACCTTGGGGAGGTGTCAGCCTGGAGAAGGATGTGCATACACACACAAACCCTGTGCTAGAATTGTTACATGCACCCTCACAAAGTCATTACCATTTCTCCAACCATATAAGATGCAGAGGAGAGGATCACCTTCCTTGAAAATTGACTTTTGGGGAGAGACTCTGAGATCAAAGATCATGGAGAAATGAAAGGCCTACGGATGGAACTTTATCTTGCTCTCCATAAATATAGTCTATCTAATACCTGACAACTTTTTCACCTATCAAAGAAAATGTAATGTTACCTGTCATTTAGAAAACTTAACATCTTAATGGAGTAAACCATCACTTCCCACTTACAAAGAAAACTGGCCATTGTTATGAAGAAAATTTTAAAAATAAGGTTTTGGCAAAATTATCTTCTTATAGAGAGTATAAGGATTATAATCTTTAACATAAGAGGAGGGTAACCAAAATGTAAAAGAGTTGACATACTATCTTGAAATTTGTTTTGATAAGCCTGGTGGGGTGGGGGGTAAAGCCTCTCGGTTCACCTAAGCTAGGGCATCTGGTGAGTACAGTGTTGACAACAGAGTTCATGGCTACAGGCCAAGTTCACTGACTTTATTGTTGTTGTTGTTAATGTGTGGTACAAACAGTTACAATTCCATAAATCAGATTATGAATGCAATGGCACCTCCCCCTTCGTTGACTCATTTTTGTGTGTGCATGGCACCCAGGCTGTTTCCATTGCAGGCCTGATCCCCATCTCTTTCCCTTGCCCAGGGATTTTCTATCTAGACTACTGGCCACGGAGCCCCATGTTTATGGTCAACAGGAGTAGCAAGAAGCAAGAGTCCCACTTTTCCCACACTGGCTAACTCACCAGCTCTGGTTCTTGGACTTCCATCAGGGTAAGTGGGGTTTGTTAGTTTGTTTTGATTTTGATTTTTGTTGTTGTGTTGGGAATGAACCCAGGGCTTTGTATAGGCTTGGACAAGTGTTCTACCACTGAGCTACACTACACCCCCAGCCTAGGCTGAGTTTCAAAGCATTAAAGACAGATGGAGAATATTTTTACAACAAGGATTATATAAAAGTGTTGTGGCTTTTTTTTTCTCTCTGCCATTTACCATGTTTTGTTTTCCCCCCACAGCATTTATCATTACTTAACATTATTTACTGAAAGTCTGTCTTCCTGTACCCAAAAGTGTAAGATCCAGGACAGCAGGCATGATGCTTGGTCTGCTGCAGTGACCTCAGCTCCTACAACAGTGCCTGGCACATAATGGCCACTCACATTTACTGGTAGAATAAATCATTTTGGGCCAAGTCATATAATGGATATCTTTGAGTGCCTCCAGACAGAGCTGTAGACAAACACACACACACACACAGCCCCAAATACAACACCAACACACTAGTTAGGATCAAAATAGTTCACTGCCAGAATTGAACTCACCTAAGGCTGTTAACTCTTCTATGCATGGTATTCTCTTCTCTCCCTTGGTATCACCAAGGGAGCTCCTACTATTTCCTAATTCCTAGACCACACCCTTACAAATTTCCACTGTTACTGTGCCCTTCTTATTTCTTTCTCTTCCTTTTTCTTTCTTTCTGTCCTTTTTTCTTCCTTTTTTCTTTCTTTCCTTCTTTCATTTCTCTCCTTTTCTTTCTTTCCTTCTTCCTTCCTTCCTCTTTTTTCTTTCTTTTGTAGTGTAGGTCCTGGGATTAGAACTCAGAGCCTCAGTGCTGTCCCTGAGCTTTTACACTCAAAGCTAGCACTCTGCCACTTGAGCCACAGCTCCACTTTCAGCTTTTTGGTGGCTAGAGATATACTTTCCTGCCCAGGCTGGCTTTGAACTGTGCTCGTCAGATCTCAGCCTCCTGAGTAGCTAGGATTATAGTTATAAGCCACCAGTGCCCAGCTTATTTCTTTCTTCAAAAAAAATTTTTTATTATCCTTAACTAGTTGTACAAAGGAGTTTCCATTTAATATGCCCCTTTGTGAATACATTTCATCTTGATCAATGTCACCCCTTTCATCATTCTCCCCCATTTTTCCCAACCCCACCCATCTTCACATACGTATATTGAATGTTATGATTGCATTTGCCTACGCTTTCTCTCCCCATTTGTCTACCAGTTCCCACTCCAACAACACATAATTCAGCATCCTGCTACTCATTTTGTTAAAATGTAAGTTAGTTGTTCAAAGTTACACCATTGGAATCCTCCCCTGCATATATCATACTTTTTAATCTGTTTTATATATGCACATGCTTTTTTTCTAGCCATGTTTTCTTTCTTTTTTGTTTGTTATTTTTCGGTTGTGGGGCCTGAACTCTGGGCTTGCTGTCCCTCAGCTCTTCAGCTCAAGGCTAGTGCTCTACCACTTGAGCCACAGTGCCCCACTTCTGGCTTTTTCTGCTTATGTGGTGTTAAGGAATTGAACCCAGGGCTTCATGCATGCAAGGCAAGCACTCTACCACTGAGCCACCTTATATATGCACATGATGCTTATATGTTTACACATATATTTATAATTTAGATCTAACTTCCACATATAAGAGAAAACACACATTCCTTGTCTCTCTGAGACTGACTTATTTTGCTTAACAATTTTTTCCAGGTCCATCTATTTCCCTGAAAATGACATAACATTCAATTGTATATATATACCACATTTTATTAACCCTCTCATCTGTTGTGGGGTATCTGGGCTATGTCCATAACTTGTCTATGGTGAATAGTGCAGCAATAAACATGAATATTCAAGTGTCTTTACTCTATCCTGACTTGTAATGCTCTGGGTAGATACCCAAGAATGGTATCACTGGATCATAGGATAGTTCTACATTTATTCTTTTGAGGAATCTCCAAACTGTCTTCCAAAGTGGTTGTACCAGTTTAATTCTCATCAACAGTATATTAGGGTTCCACTGTTCCCACATCCCCACACTCTCTTAACATTGTAAGTAATGCTAATGAGAAGCCATAACAAAGAGTCACGTTAGAAACTGCTGGAATCCCAAAGCAGAAGGTTTATGTCCTGACTTCAAAAACCCCAAGTAGTTTAAGGCACTTAAAACTTAAGTAGTTTAAGTTATAACCATGATTGCAGCTGATTCAAGTGAGCAACAGTTTATGTTAACAGTACTCTTGAAAGCCAGGTGCTAGTGGTTCATGCTTGTAATCATAACTACTTAGAGAATTAAATCTGAGAATCATTGTTCAAAGCCACCAGGGTAGGAAAGTACTGAGATTTTGATCACTAATTAAGCAGCACAAAGCTGGAAGTATAGCCCCAGACTTGAATGAAAAAGCCAAACAAGAATGTAAAGCCTCTGTGCTGGCACTAATTAATTAATTTAATAATTTGATTAATTAACTAATTTAAAGAATTTGTACATACACATGCATACACACACACACACACACACACACAAAATAAAACTTGAGGCCAGGCACTGGTGGCTCATGCCTGTAATCCTAGCTACTCAGGAGACTGATATCTGAGAATTGCAGTTCAAAGCCTGCCTGGGCAGGAAAGTCCTTGAGATGCTTATCTCCAATTAACCACCAGAAAACTGGAAGTGGCGCTGTGGCTCAAACGGTAGAGTATTAGTCTTGAGCTGAAGAGCGCAGGGACAGCACCCAGGCCCAGAGTTCAAGCCCCACAACCGACAAAAAGGAACAAAAAAAGAAAAGAAAACTTGAATATTGGTTCATTAATATCAGGGTAAAAATATATGGTCATAAATAAAAGAGAAGTAAAATGAAACAGTATCTCCCCAATAGCTACCAGGCACCAGTGCTCAACTTGCTATGCTTAAACAGGGCCAGAGTTGGAAATTTTTATATCAGAGAGAAGTAGTTCATAGTGCTCTCTGTTGCAATACTCAACTTCCTTATATTTCAATGGCTCAC